CAAAATGGTTGACGAAGTCATCCACAGAGAGGGGGGAGGGGGTGGAGGATTCAGCAGAGAGGAGAAGGTGGCAAAGAGCTTCCCAGGGTTAGAGGCAGATGCTTGGAATTTAGAGTGGTAGAAAGTGGATTTAGCAGCAGAAACAGATGAAGAAAATGTAGAGAGGAGGGAGTGAAAAGATGCTAGGTCCGCAGGGAGTCGAGTTTTCCTCCATTACCGCTCGGCTGCCCGGAGCCCTGTTCTGTGAGCTCGCAATGAGTCATCAAGCCACGGAGCTGGAGGCGAGGACCGAGCCGGCTGGGAGGATAGGGGACATAGAGAATCAAAGGGTGCAGAAAGGGAGGAGAGGAGGGTTGAGGAAGCAGAATCAGGAGATTGGAGGGAGAAGAATTGAGCAGAGGGAAGAGATGATAGGATGGAAGAGGAGAGAGAGAGCGAAGGTTGCGACGGCGCATTACCATCTGAGTAGGGGCAGAGTGAGTAGTGTTGGAGGAGAGCGAGAGAGAAAAGGATACAAAGTAGTGGTCGGAGACATGGAGGGGAGTTGCAGTGAGATTAGTAGAAGAGCAGCATCTAGTAAAGATGAGGTCAAGCGTATTGCCTGCCTTGTGAGTAGGGGGGGACGGTGAGAGGGTGAGGTCAAAAGAGGAGAGGAGTGGAAAGAAGGAGGCAGAGAGAAATGAGTCAAAGGTAGACGTAGGGAGGTTTAAGTCACCCAGAACTGTGAGGGGTGAGCCGTCCTCAGGAAAGGAACTTGTCAAGCTCATTGATGAACTCTCCAAGGGAACCTGGAGGGCGATAAATGAAAAGGATGTTAAGCTTGAATGGGCTAGTGACTGTGACAGCATGGAATTCAAATGAGGAGATAGACAGATGGGTCAGGGGAAAAAGAGAGAATGTCCACTTGGGAGAGATGATGATTCCTGTGCCACCACCCCGCTGACCAGATGCTCTCGGGGTATGCGAGAACACATGGTCAGACGAGGAGAGAGCAGTAGGAGTAGCAGTGTTTTCAGTGGTAATCCATGTTTCCGTCAGCGCCAAGAAGTTGAGGGACTGGAGGGTAGCATAGGCTGAGATTAACTCTGCCTTGTTGGCAGCAGAACGGCAGTACTTAGTTGAAGCACCTTTGGCAGCGATTACAGCATCGAGTCTTCTTGGGTATGACGCTACAAGCTTGGCACACCTGTATTTGGGGAGTTTCTCCTATTCTTCTCTGCAGATCCTCTCAAGCCCTGTCGTATTGGATAGGGAGCGTTGCTGCACAGCTATTTTCAGGTCTCTCCAGAGATGCTCGATCGGGTTCAAGTCTGGACTATAGCTGGGCCACTTAAGGACATTCAGAGACTTGTCCCAAAGCCACTCCTGCGTTGTCTTGGCTGTGGGCTTAGGGTCGTTGTCCTGTTGGAAGGTGAACCTTCGCCCCAGTCTGAGGTCCTGAGCAGGTTTTCCTCAAGGATCTCTCTGTACTTTGCTCCGTTCATCTTTGCCTCGATCCTGAAAAGTCTCCCAGTTCCTGCCGCTGAAAAACATCCCCACAGCTTGATGCTGCCACCACCATGCTTCACCGTAGGGATGGTGCCAGGTTTCCTCCAGACGTGACCCTCTGCATTCAGGCCAAAGAGTTCAATCTTGGTTTCATCAAACCAGAGAATTTTTTGGTGCCTTTTGACAAACTCCAAGCAGGCTGTCATGTGCCTTTTACTGAGGAGTGGCATCCGTCTGGCCACTCTACCATAAAGGCCTGATTGGTGGAGTGCTGCAGAGATGGTTGTCCTTCTGGAAGGTTCTCCCATCTCCACAGAGGATCTCTAAAGCTCTGTCAGAGTGACCATCGGGTTCTTGATCACCTCCCTGACCAAGGCCCTTCTCTCCCGATTGCTCAGTTTGGCCGGGCGGCCAGCTCTAGGAAGAGTCTTGGTGGTTCCGAACTTGTTCCATTTAAGAATGATGGAGGGCACTGTGTTCTTGGGGACCTTCAATGCTGCATAAATGTTTTGGTACCCTTCCCCAGATCTGTGCCTCGACACAATCCTGTCTCGGAGCTCTACGGACAATTCCTTCGACCTCATGGATTGATTTTTGCTGTGACATACACTGTCAACTGTGGGACCTTTTTATAGACGGGTGTGTGTCTTTCCAAATCATGTTCAATCAATTTGAATTTACCGCAGGTGCACTCCAATCAAGTTGTAGAAACATCTCAAGGATGATCAATGGAAACAGGATGCACCTGAGCTCAATTTCGAGTCTCATTGCAAAGGGTCTGAATACTCACGTAATTAAGGTATTTCAGTTTTTTATTGTTAATACGTTTGCTAACATTTCTAAAAAGCTGTTTTTGCTTTGTCATTATGGGGTATTGTGTGTAGATTGCTGAGGATTATTCATTTTTTATCAATTTTAGAATAAGGCTGTAACGTAACAACATTTGGAAAAAGTCAAGGGGTCTGAATACTTTCTGAAGGCACTGTAAGTGTGTGTGTAATCTGGGGGCTGGCTGGCTGTCGGGTTGAGAGAGAGAGCGAGAGAGAGGCTTTAAGAGGTTCTGTCTGTCTGCACAGGGTATGAAGCTTAATCACACTCTTTCATTCTCTCTTCCTCCCCCTCCCTCTCTCTCCTCCTTTTTCTCTCTCTCTCCTCCTACTCTTCTCTCTCTCTTTGCAGCCAGGATTTGAGGAGATCAACCCGGAGTGGAAGACTTCTCTGGAGAAGAGGAAGAAGATAAAAGGTACCAGAGACGCTACTGACGCTAGCAGGACAGAGACGCTATCAGGACAGAGACACTGCTACTGACGCTAGCAGGACAGAGACGCTAGCAGGACAGAGACGCTAGCAGGACAGAGACGCTGCTACTGACGCTAGCAGGACAGAGACGCTAGCAGGACAGAGACGCTAGCAGGACAGAGACGCTGCTACTGACGCTAGCAGGACAGAGACGCTGTTACTGACGCTAGCAGGACAGAGACGCTGCTACTGACGCTAGCAGGACAGAGACGCTAGCAGGACAGAGACGCTAGCAGGACAGAGACGCTAGCAGGACAGAGACGCTAGCAGGACAGAGACACTGCTACTGACGCTAGCAGGACAGAGACGCTAGCAGGACAGAGACGCTAGCAGGACAGAGACGCTAGCAGGACAGAGACGCTAGCAGGACAGAGACCCTAGCAGGACAGAGACGCTGCTACAGACGCTAGCAGGACAGAGACGCTGCTACTGACGCTAGCAGGACAGAGACACTGCTACTGACGCTAGCAGGATAGAGACGCTAGCAGGACAGAGACACTGCTACTGACGCTAGCAGGACAGAGACGCTGCTACTGACGCTAGCAGGACAGAGACGCTAGCAGGACAGAGAAGCTAGCAGGACAGAGACGCTGCTACTGACGCTAGCAGGACAGAGACGCTAGCAGGACAGAGACGCTAGCAGGACAGAGACGCTGTTACTGACGCTAGCAGGACAGAGACGCTAGCAGGACAGAGACGCTGCTACTGACGCTAGCAGGACAGAGACACTGCTACTGACGCTAGCAGGACAGAGACGCTAGCAGGACAGTGACACTGCTACTGATGCTAGCAGGACAGAGACGCTGCTACTGACGCTAGCAGGACAGAGACGCTAGCAGGACAGAGACGCTGCTACTGACGCTAGCAGGACAGAGACGCTGCTACTGACGCTAGCAGGACAGAGACGCTAGCAGGACAGAGACGCTGCTACTGACGCTAGCAGGACAGAGACGCTGCTACTGACGCTAGCAGGACAGAGACGCTGCTACTGACGCTAGCAGGACAGAGACGCTGCTACTGACGCTAGCAGGACAGAGACGCTAGCAGGACAGAGACGCTGCTACTGACGCTAGCAGGACAGAGACGCTGCTACTGACGCTAGCAGGACAGAGACGCTAGCAGGACAGAGACACTGCTACTGACGCTAGCAGGACAGAGACGCTGCTACTGACGCTAGCAGGACAGAGACGCTAGCAGGACAGAGACACTGCTACTGACGCTAGCAGGACAGAGACGCTGCTACTGACGCTAGCAGGACAGAGACGCTAGCAGGACAGAGACGCTAGCAGGACAGAGACGCTGCTACTGACGCTAGCAGGACAGAGACGCTGCTACTGACGCTAGCAGGACAGAGACGCTGCTACTGACGCTAGCAGGACAGAGACGCTAGCAGGACAGAGACGCTGCTACTGACGCTAGCAGGACAGAGACGCTGCTACTGACGCTAGCAGGACAGAGACGCTAGCAGGACAGAGACGCTAGCAGGACAGAGACACTGCTACTGACGCTAGCAGGACAGAGACGCTGCTACTGACGCTAGCAGGACAGAGACGCTAGCAGGACAGAGACACTGCTACTGACGCTAGCAGGACAGAGACGCTGCTACTGACGCTAGCAGGACAGAGACGCTAGCAGGACAGAGACGCTAGCAGGACAGAGACACTGCTACAGACGCTAGCAGGACAGAGACGCTGCTACTGACGCTAGCAGGACAGAGACGCTGCTACTGACGCTAGCAGGACAGAGACGCTAGCAGGACAGAGACGCTAGCAGGACAGAGACACTGCTACTGACGCTAGCAGGACAGAGACGCTGCTACTGACGCTAGCAGGACAGAGACACTGCTACTGACGCTAGCAGGACAGAGACGCTGCTACTGACGCTAGCAGGACAGAGACACTGCTACTGACGCTAGCAGGATAGAGACGCTAGCAGGACAGAGACACTGCTACTGACGCTAGCAGGACAGAGACACTGCTACTGACGCTAGCAGGATAGAGACGCTAGCAGGACAGAGACACTGCTACTGACGCTAGCAGGACAGAGACGCTGCTACTGACGCTAGCAGGACAGAGACACTGCTACTGACGCTAGCAGGATAGAGACGCTAGCAGGACAGAGACGCTAGCAGGACAGAGACGCTAGCAGGACAGACGCTGCTACTGACGCTAGCAGGACAGAGACACTGCTACTGACGCTGTGTGTGTAGTATAATGTGTCGGTGTAAATTATAATGTGTGTGTGTAGTGTCGTGTGTGTAGTATAATGTGTGTAGTGTTAGGTTCTGACAAATTGAGTAAAAACTCAAACGGACAACTAGGAAAAGCTCAACCCAAGTTTATTCACCCACCGTGTCAAACAGCTGAAGAGACAAAGACATGTTTACACAAGTGCACCTGGACAGCCAATACATCTCTGTTGCTAGGCAGGACTTTAGTGGTGCCTGTTCTTTCTCACTTCATCTGACCTCGGCCCAAATTCCCCCCCTCCTCCCCAACTCACGGCTGTCCTTCCTTATCTGTTGACTGGAACCAGACTGTGGTCCTTCTCCTCTCCATAGGATCCCTGAGATGTTCTGACAGAATGTCAACTTCCTGTCCTAATATGATAACATGAATAAGGATATTTCAAGTTTAGAAGTCATTCCCCAACAGTCCCCCACTCCATACTGTTCAACATTATATAAACTTGGAAATTACTTATAAATGAACAAAAAATAACATTCACAGTTTATTATTATGTTTACACCTCCGAGACGTATGGCCTCTGATCTGTACACACTGGTTTCCATCTCGTCAGACAACTGAGAATGACATTTCAGCTGGCGCTGTTGACATCCTCCATTTCAGCTGGCGCTGTTGACTTCCTCCATTTCAGCTGGCGCTGTTGACTTCCTCCATTTCAGCTGGCGCTGTTGACTTCCTCCATTTCAGCTGGAGCTGTTGACTTCCTCCATTTCAGCTGGAGCTGTTGACTTCCTCCATTTCAGTTGGAGCTGTTGACTTCCTCCATTTCAGTTGGAGCTGTTGACTTCCTCCATTTCAGTTGGAGCTGTTGACTTCCTCCATTTCAGTTGGAGCTGTTGACTTCCTCCATTTCAGCTGGCGCTGTTGACTTCCTCCATTTCCTCCTTCAGGTTCCTAAGAGGGTGATAGCACAAGACTTGAAAAGCAAAAGAAACACAAAACATAACAGTATTAATAATGTGTTAAGCTATGCATAATTATACAGTACCAGTCAAAAGTTTGGACACACCTACTCATTCCAGGGTTTTTCTTTATTTTTACTATTTTCTACATTGTAGAATAATGTGTGTGTGTAGTGTAGTGTTGTGTGTGTGTGTAGTGTATAACATATGTGGTTTGTTGTGTGTTCTTCCCCCAGACAAGGCACAATACTACCCTCTGTGTGAGGTGGCATGGTGGTCAGAGTGTGTGTTGATCCTGGCCCGGTGTTCTGGTTCTCTGACTGTGTCGTCTGTTAAAACCCTACACAACCTCCTGGGCAAGAGCTGTGAGTGGTTCCAACCATCGCCGCGGGTTACCGCCGCCCAGGATGGGGGCTTCCTTACTCTGGAGGTAAGGAGTGGGGGAGAAGGGAGGAGGGAGGGAGGGAGGGAGGGAGGACTGGCTGGAGAGGGGTTGGCTGGAGGGAGGGAGGGAGGGAGGACTGGCTGGAGAGGGGTTGGCTGGAGGGAGGGAGGGAGGGAGGGAGGGAGGGAGGGAGGACTGGCTGGCTGGGGGGATGGCGTGAGGTAGGGAGGACTGGAAGGAGGGAGGGAGGGCTGGAAGGAGGGAGGGCGGGCGGGTGGGCGGGAGGGAGGGAGGGTAGATGGATGGGCGGACGGGCGGGTGAGTTGGCTGTCTGGAGGGATATCGGGCTGGAGGGGGGAGGATAGTTGGAGGGAGGGAGGGGAGAGAGGTGGGAGGGAGGGGAGAGAGGGGAGAATGGTGAGAGAAAAATAAAGGGATGATGGTTTTTATCTTCTGTCGACTAGAGAAAGTCCGAAAAAATTAAAGTGAAATGGGTTGTTTTACATGGTCAGTCATAGTGTGGCACCCCTGGAGCAAATATGGGGTTAGTGCATTGCTCAGCAACCCACAAACCTAGAGGGAGGAGTGTGTGTGTGTGTGTGTGTAGTGATGCATGGGTTGACTCATAACCCACAGTCCCTGCGGTTATGTCCGTGGAACAGATGGGTTTAGGGTCATGAAATATTGTGGGGCTGGTGGGTGCCGGGCGGGTTCAATAAAGAGAAAACAAAGCATTAAAAAAATCCATAAATGTATCTTTCTGGTGCAATTCATATCTATAGGCTACATTGAGGTTTTTCTTTCATTATATTTACAGTGCCTTGCAAAAGAATTCATCCCCCTTGGCATTTTTCCTATTTTGTTGCATTACAACCTGTCATTTAAATGGATTTTTATTTGGATTTCATGTAATGGACATACACAAAATAGTCCAAATTGATGAAGTGAAATGATTTTTTTTCTTCAGCTAAACATTAGGCTACTGTGTTAAGATATCACGGCATCTGGCAGTCTAACTGAGGAGGAATGGCCGTTCATTCAAGCACCACCACACTCAAAAAACAAGTCGGGGCGTGGATCTCGTCATTTCCAGTTAAACATTAACCTGCTCTGTCGCAGTCTACCATTGAAAACCATTTGAAGACTCCATGTGTAAATGTCATGCTTTTTGTATTCAAGCAATATGATTGGCCGTTCATTCAAGCACCACCACACTCCCGCCAGTCACGAGCAGTTGAGTTGATGCCTTCACGAAGCACACGCGACCTGTCCAGAGCAAACAAGATCTATGTACTAGCTGGGCTTATATATTTTAGGGAAAGTGATTTTCAATAGTGAACATACTGGCAATGTGCTGGCTACTGTTGCTAGTCTGCTAAAAGAAAGCAACAAAAAGAAACATGGCGTTGGTCTTTGCTAGCCTACTGTAGCCATGACGATATCTCTTTTTGCACATTTGTCTTAAAGGGGCAGCGTCCTATTTTCAAATTTTCTCAAAATGACTTTTGATACAAAAATGAATGCAATTAATACAATGCAATTCTAAAAAAGAATGACTTGCCATGCTAAATTATATTATACAGCGTTTAATAAATAACATAATAACTCATGTAGCTTTTTAATATCTGAATATAGAGAGAAAGCATGCCAACCCATAGGCCCTGCATGACCCCAATGCATTTAAGAATTACACCATGTCCGTGCCAGGAGAAATTCTGTTCGTGCCAGTAGATTTTTGGCCAGGCCAGTGAAGGAAAGGTTAGCTTTGGACCCTGGCGTGTTTCATATGGTGGCGCCCAGGCTATGTTAATGGGGGTTTGATATATGGTGGCGCCCAGGCTATGTTACTGGGGGTTTGATTGACGAACAGCAAGCTTGATAGTTCATAAACTGTTGAACTGACTGAATAAAGTCTATCATATATATATATATATATATATATATATATATATATATATATATATATATATATATATATATATATACACATATACACACATACACACATACACACATACATACATACATACATACATACATACAGTGGGGAGAACAAGTATTTGATTCACTGCCGATTTTGCAGGTTTTCCTACTTACAAAGCATATAGTAATATGTAATTTTTATCATAGGTACACTTCAACTGTGAGAGACGGAATCTAAAACAAAAATCCAGAAAATCACATTGTATGATTTTTAAGTAATTAATTTGCATTTTATTGCATGACATAAGTATTTGATCACCTACGAACCAGTAAGAATTCCGGCTCTCACAGACCTGTTAGTTTTTCTTTAAGAAGCCCTCCTGTTCTCCACTCATTACCTGTATTAACTGCACCTGTTTGAACTCGTTACCTGTATAAAATACACCTGTACACACACTCAATCAAACAGACTCCAACCTCTCCACAATGGCCAAGACCAGAGAGCTGTGTAAGGACAATAGGGATAAAATTGTAGACCTGCACAAGGCTGGGATGGGCTACAGGACAATAGGCAAGCAGCTTGGTGAGAAGGCAACAACTGTTGGTGCAATTATTAGAAAATGGAAGAAGTTCAAGATGACGGTCAATTACCCTCGGTCTGGGGCTCCATGCAAGATCTCACCTCGTGGGGCATCAATGATCATGAGGAAGGTGAGGGATCAGCCCAGAACTACACGGCAGGACCTGGTCAATGACCTGAAGAGAGCTGGGACCACAGTCTCAAAGAAAACCATTAGTAACACACTACGCCGTCATGGATTAAAATCCTGCAGCGCACGCAAGGTCCCCCTGCTCAAGCCAGCGCATGTCCAGGCCCGTCTGAAGTTTGCCAATGACCATCTGGATGATCCAGAGGAGGAATGGGAGAAGGTCATGTGGTCTGATGAGACAAAAATATAGCTTTTTGGTCTAAACTCCACTCGCTGTGTTTGGAGGAAGAAGGATGAATACAACCCCAAGAACACCATCCCAACCATGAAGCATGGAGGTGGAAACATAATTCTTTGGGGATGCTTTTCTATAAAGGGGACAGGACGACTGCACCGTATTGAGGGGAGGATGGATGGGGCCATGTATTGCGAGATCTTGGCCAACAACCTCCTTCCCTCAGTAAGAGCATTGAAGATGGGTCGTGGCTGGGTCTTCCAGCATGACAACGACCCGAAACACACAGCCAGGGCAACTAAGGAGTGGCTCCGTAAGAAGCATCTCAAGGTCCTGGAGTGGCCTAGCCAGTCTCCAGACCTGAACCCAATAGAAAATCTTTGGAGGGAGCTGAAAGTCCGTATTGCCCAGCGACAGCCCCGAAACCTGAAGGATCTGGAGAAGGTCTGTATGGAGGAGTGGGCCAAAATCCCTGCTGCAGTGTGTGTAAACCTGGTCAAGACCTACAGGAAACTTATGATCTCTGTAATTGCAAACAAAGGTTTCTGTACCAAATATTAAGTTCTGCTTTTCTGATGTAGCAAATACTTATGTCATGCAATAAAATGCAAATTAATGACTTAAAAATCATACAATGTGATTTTCTGGATTTTTGTTTTAGATTCCGTCTCTCACAGTTGAAGTGTACCTATGATAAAAATGACAGACCTCTACATGCTTTGTAAGTAGGAAAACCTGCAAAATCGGCAGTGTATCAAATACTTGTTCTCCCCACTGTATACATAATATGACATTTGACATTTATTCTTTTGGAACCTTTGTAAGTGTAATGTTGAAAGAGAGAGAGAGAGCCCTATAGACCTGCTGTTGATAGTCATTAATCACTAGAGTGTCAGGGTGGGCACACCAGGGGCTTTAGAAGAGGGTGTAGGGTGTCAGGGTGGGCACGCCAGGGGCTTTAGAAGAGGGTGTAGGAGAGTCAGGGTGGGCACGCCAGGGGCTTTAGAAGAGGGTGTAGGAGTGTCAGGGTGGGCACGCCAGGGGCTTTTGAAGAGGGTGTAGGAGAGTCAGGGTGGGCACGCCAGGGGCTTTAGAAGAGGGTGTAGGAGAGTCAGGGTGGGCACGCCAGGGGCTTTTGAAGAGGGTGTAGGAGTGTCAGGGTGGGCACGCCAGGGGCTTTTGAAGAGGGTGTAGGAGTGTCAGGGTGGGCACGCCAGGGGCTTTAGAAGAGGGTGTAGGGTGAAGTTGGCCCTAGACGCTGATCTGGGATCAGTGTAGCGTTTTCCAGAGTAATGGTTAAGGTTAGGATTGGAGGAGGGGAAGCTGATCCTGGCTCTGTATCTATATCCTTGCTATTCATCAATCATACAATGTAGTTATATGTCCATGGTATCGCGTCAGGACAAAGTATACTAAAGATCTTGTTTGTATTTTCCTTATGATGCCCATCAGGCAGTGATGTTATTTCAGTAGCACCGTATCGCATCGGTAAGAGAGCTGTTCATTTAGTTTCCTCATTTGCATAATTGTAGGTTTTTCCAATGACGATGGTGAATTATCCTCAACAATAGATAGGCCTCACTCTGGTTCAAAATATGATAAATGAAAACGGGATTGAATTGTTATAAAAGCTAATGATACTTATACTTGTATTTTCAAAGATATTGATATAGGTCTACTGATTTTAATCAGTGTTGACGATGGAGTAGTCAACTGCTGCTTTCTGTGTAGCAAAGGCCCCCGTGTTTACCACCTGCTTCATTCTTCAATCATACCTGTGTTACAGAAAATGCCTCTTAAAAGGAAACTTGAGGCCTGTGGAAGTCCGCAGACCCTTACAGGATTCTTTAAAATCCCAGTGCAGTCAATTTAGTTTTTCCTGTGTTTTGATATCATATTGTAAAACAGCTGATGAAACTAACACTGTAAAAGTGTGGGGGGAAAAAAATGTGATCAGTGTTCTTTCCTGATAGTTGCTGGTTGAAAATACAATCTAGCATTAGAATGTACCAGGGGCCACCCCCCAAAAAATGACCCCCCCCCCCCCCGGCCCAGGGAGCCTGGCTGGCTACATTTTCTACTTGACTGGCTACTATTTGACTGGCTACTATTTGACTGGCTACTATTTGACTGGCTACTATTTGACTGGCTACTATTTGACTGGCTACTATTTGACTGGCTACTATTTGACTGGCTACTATTTGACTGGCTACTATTTGACTGGCTACTATTTGACTGGCTACTATTTGACTGGCTACTATTTGACTGGCTACTCCATGTGCTAGCGGAAAACACTCTAGCAACCAAACGGCTCTGAAAGGTAAAACGCATAAAGCCCAGAACAGGCCCAGGGCCCGGTTCCCCCATTGCGATGGAACTTAGCGTTACGAGTGTCTTTTTTTGTTTTTTTTTAACGATGCGTCTTTCCTACAACGGCCTAAGATGTAACGTGCGTTTCCCAAAAACACCACGCAGAGAGAACGGTCGCTAATTGTGTCGTTAGAACATTGTGTCGATACTGATAGGATTGAAAGAAAGGGAGTTCTCAGATCAGCTTTTTCCATTCAGATCTTTCCTTAACTTTTGGCACATCATTGCGCACGTTAGGCTACACATCATTAAATATATTGAGACAAAGAAAATAACTCAGTTGATTGAACATTAAAATCCAGAAAAACGCATGTCAAAAATGTTATAAATTGATTTGCATTTTAATGAGGGAAATAAGTATTTGACCCTTCTGCAAAACATGACTTAGTACTTGGTGACAAATCCCTTGTTGGCAATCACAGAGGTCAGACGTTTCTTGTAGTTGGCCACCAGGTTTGCACACATCTCAGGAGGGATTTTGTCCCACTCCTCTTTGCAGATCTTCTCCAAGTCATTAAGGTTTCGAGGCTGACGTTTGGCAACTCGAACCTTCAGCTCCCTCCACAGATTTTCTATGGGATTAAGGTCTGGAGACTGGCTAGGCCACTCCAGGACCTTAATGTGCTTCTTCTTGAGCCACTCCTTTGTTGCCTTGGCCGTGTGTTTTGGGTCATTGTCAAGCTGGAATACCCATCCACGACCCATTTTCAATGCCCTGGCTGAGGGAAGGAGGTTCTCACCCAAGATTTGACTGTACATGGCCCCGTCCATCGTCCCTTTGATGCGGTGAAGTTGTCCTGTCCCCTTAGCAGAAACCCCCCCCAAAGCATAATGTTTCCACCTCCATGTTTGACGGTGGGGATGGTGTTCTTGGGGTCATAGGCAGCATTCCTCCTCCTCCAAACACGGTGAGTTGAGTTGATGCCAAAGAGCTCGATTTTGGTCTCAACTGACCACAACACTTTCACCCAGTTCTCCTCTCAACTTCAGACGGGCCTGTATATGTGCTTTCTTGAGCAGGGGGACCTTGCGGGCGCTGCAGGATTTCAGTCCTTCACAGCGTAGTGTGTTACCAATTGTTTTCTTGGTGACTACGGTCCCAGCTGCCTTGAGATCATTGACAAGATCCTCCCATGTAGTTATGGGATGATTCCTCACCGTTCTCATGATCATTGCAACTCCACGAGGTGAGATCTTGCATGGAGCCCCAGGCCGAGGGAGATTGACAGTTATTTTGTGTTTCTTCCATTTGCGAATAATCGCACCAGCTGTTGTCACCTTCTCACCAAGCTGCTTGGCGATGGTCTTGTAGCCCATTCCAGCCTTGTGTAGGTCTACAATCTTGTCCCTGACATCCTTGGAGAGCTCTTTGGTCTTGGCCATGGTGGAGAGTTTGGAATCTGATTGATTGATTGCTTCTGTGGACAGGTGTCTTTTATACAGGTACCAAGCTGATATTAGGAGCACTCCCTTTAAGAGTGTGCTCCTAATCTCAGCTCGTTACCTGTATAAAAGACACCTGGGAGCCAGAAATCTTTCTGATTGAGAGGGGGTCAAATACTTATTTCCCTCATTAAAATGCAAATCAATTTATAACATTTTTGACATGCGTTTTTCTGGATTTTTTTGTTGTTGTCTCTCACTGTTCAAATAAACCTACCATTAAAATTATAGACTGACCATTTCTTTGTCAGTGGGCAAACGTACAAAATCAGCAGGGGATCAAATACTTTTTTCCCTCACTGTATTTGTAGTCAACTTTGTTCTGAAGTTATCGGTGGTAACAGAGAGCCCAATAAACCATGTGATTCTATGTTTAGGGGAGATCTTCTGTGTATAAAGGGATGCAGGAGGGCAAAAAAGCATCTAACAACACTTAGTCCGAGGCAGGCGTTATATTACGAGCGTTTTCAAGTGCAGCTTTAACTGGGCTAGTGAGGAGGACATGGCTGAGGCAGAGACAGCAGCATCAATAAGAAAGGCTGAACCAGTGCTGACTAGAGAGAGGAGGGAGAGAGAGGATTCAGCCTACCACACATGTTATGCTACGGGTTTCCGGTTCACACAAATTACATATAGCCAATTATTTCTCTCTCCTCTCTCCCCTTCTCCTCTCTCTCCCCCTCTCCCCCTACCGCCCACTCCCAGTGTGAAGTGCATCTGGCCCAGAAGAGAGGTCGTCAGGACAGTAACATGGAGGGTGTGGCTACGGAGGGTGAGGAAGGAGACTCGGACTCTGATGAAGAGTCGTCAGCCAAGGCCCGTTACTCTGGTTACGTGAAGCAGGGGCTGTACTACGTCACCGAGATGGAACGCTTCGCTCCGCCACGGAAACGGCCCCGCACCGTCGTCAAGAGTTACCGTCTGGTCAGCCTGCGCTCCACCACGCCTGAAGAGCTGTACCAAAGGAAGGTAAGTCACCATGACGATGACCTCACGACACGAGCACCATTCCCAAAATACAAAATGACTGACTGACATTCCCAAGTAGTCAAATTAACCAAAGGCACATGGGAGGAGGATAGGAGAGAGTGGAGGGGGGAGAGGAGAGAGAAGAGAGGGGAGGATAGGAGAGTGTGGAGGGGGGAGAGGAGAGAGAAGAGAGGGGAGGATAGGAGAGTGTGTGAGGGTTAGTGTGTGTGTGTGAGGGTTAGTGTGTGTGAGAGAGAGATACCCTACAGCTACAATGTCTCTGTCTGATGTGGTTCACACAGAGACACACACACACACACACAGAGACACACACACACACACACAGAGACACACACACACACACAGAGACACACACACAGAGAGACACACACACACACACACACACACACAGAGACACCCAGTAAATATATTTTGTAGATATGCTTAAAGGTAATAGCTATCATGGTGATCAGGGCCTAGAATTAACACCCGCCACCTACTAAATACGGGTAGATTTGGGCATTGGTGGGTAAGATGTCTATTACACCAGCCACGTCGGCAGGTGGTCAGGGCTCCACAGCGCGACCATTTCACTCGCATTTGTGAATGAAAAGTCAAGTATGATCCATTTATAGTAAACTAAATGCTGCAGTAGCTGTTTTTCTGCCGTTTTGTTTCATAGCTGGTGAATTAATCGCACAAAATCAAAGAACTACGAATCCTATCTAGCCTTTTCCACCTCACGCTGCCTGGCTGGGGGCTGTGAGCACCGGAAGAGCTGAGTGGAATATTTGTTTTAATAAGTGCTGTGCACAGGCATTAAAGTTGGTCTAATTTCCTTGAAACGAATGTCTACTTTAGTGAGACTGTGCCCTTGTGTTTCTTGGCTATTTACCAAGCTAGGTTGTTTTTCTGTTTGAGTTTCAACTGCCAGGGAAGAGATGACGACGCTTCTACTAGTCAGACTCAATCTCACAGGCACAAACATGACTCCAGTCGCGTTACTACGGTAACATCCCACCCTTAAAGGGGCAGGTGAACATTTTGTCTCATCTGTGATATTTTGGTTAATAGTTTAAACGATATACCACATTAGTTCCGTGTTACTAGTAATACATGTATTGTTTTAGAAACATTACAAAGCATGTCCATCTGTTTTTTTGAGTGGCTGGTAGATTTTTAGATGATGATGATGATGATGATGATGATGATGATGATGATGTGAGTGTGTGTCTCTCCAGATAGACAATGAGGAGTATGGAGAGGCCCTGTCCCTGGCCCAGGCATACGGTCTAGACTCAGACCTGGTCTACCAGAGACAGTGGAGGAAGAGCACTGTCAGCATCGCATCTATACAGGACTACTTGGTACACTGTCTCCTCTCTCTCTCTACCTCAACCACTCTCTCTCTCTCTCTCTCTACATCAACCCCTCTCTCTCTCTCTCTCTACCTCAACTCCTCTCTTTCTCTCTCCTACCAACCCTCTCTTCTCGCTCCTCTCTCTCTCTCTCGCTCTCTCGCTCTTCTCTCTCCTCTACCTCAACCCTCTCTCTCTCTACCTCAACCCCTCTCTTTCTCTCTCTCTACCTCAACCCCTCTCTCTCTCTCTCTCTCTCTCTCTCTCTCTCTCTCTCTCTCTCTCTCTTCTACTCCTCTCTCTCTCTCCTCTCATCTCTCTCTCTCTCTCGTCTCGTCCTCTCTCTCCCTCTATCTCATCTCTCTCTCTCTCCTGCTCTCTCTTTTCTCTTCGTCTCTCTTCTCTCTCTCTCTCCCTCTCTTTCTCTCTCCTTTGTCTCTCCTCCTCCTCTCTCATTCTCTCTCTCTTTACCTCTCGTCTCTTTCTCTCTCTCTTTCGCTTCTTTCTCTGGCTGCTTGCCTTCGTCTCTTCTCTCTCTCTCTCTCTCTCTTTCTTTCTCTCTCTCTCTCTCTCTCCCTCTCTCTCTCTCTTTCTCTTTATCTCTCTTTCTCTCTCAATGTGTGTGAATAGTTATGATAGTATTGCTATTGTGTACATATTAGAACAAACTGTGTCTCTCTGCCTGTCTGTGTCTCTCTGCCTGTCTGTGTCTCTCTGCCTGCCTGTCTGTGTCTCTCTGCCTGCCTGTCTGTGTCTCTCTGCCTGCCTGTCTGTGTCTCTCTGCCTGTCTGTGTCTCTCTGCCTGTCTGTCTGTCTCTCTGCCTGCCTGTCTGTGTCTCTCTGCCTGCCTGTCTGTGTCTCTCTGCCTGCCTGTCTGTGTCTCTCTGCCTGCCTGTCTGTGTCTCTCTGCCTGCCTGTCTGTGTCTCTCTGCCTGCCTGTCTGTGTCTCTCTGCCTGCCTGTCTGTGTCTCTCTGCCTGTCTGTGTCTCTCTGCCTGTCTGTGTCTCTCTGCCTGTCTGTGTCTCTCTGCCTGTCTGTGTCTCTCTGCCTGTCTGTGTCTCTCTGCCTGCTTGTCTGTGTCTCTCTGCTGCTGCTGTGTCTCTCTGCATGCCTGTCTGTGTCTCTCTGCTGCCTGTCTGTGTCTCTCTGCCTGCCTGTCTGTCTGTGTCTCTCTGCCTGCCTGTCTGTCTGTGTCTCTCTGCCTGCCTGTCTGTCTGTGTCTCTCTGCCTGCCTGTCTGTCTGTGTCTCTCTGTCTGTCTGTGTCTCTCTGCCTGACTGTGTCTCTCTGCCTGTCTGTCTGTCTCTCTGCCTGTCTGTCTGCCTGACTGTGTCTCTCTGCCTGTCTGTGTCTCTCTGCCTGTCTGTGTCTGCGCTGACTGTTGTCTCTCTGTCCTGGACGTGTCTCTTGCCTGTCTGTGTTCTCTGCCTGTCGTGTCTCTTGCCTGTCTGTGTCTCTCTGCCTGTCTGTCTGTCTCTCTGCCTGTCTGTCTCTCTGCCTGTCTGTCTGCCTGTCTCTCTGCCTGTCTGTGTCTCTCTGCCTGCCTGTCTGTGTCTCTCTGCCTGCCTGTCTGTGTCTCTCTGCCTGCCTGTCTGTGTCTCTCTGCCTGCCTGTCTGTGTCTCTCTGCCTGCCTGTCTGTTGTCTCTCTGCTGCCTGTCTGGTGTCCTCTCTGCCTTGCCTGTCTGTGTCTCTCTGCCTGCCTGTCTGTGTCTCTCTGCCGTCTGTGTCTCTCTGCCTGTCTGTGTCTCTTGCTGTCTGTGTCTCTCTGCCTGTCTGTGTCTCTCTGCCTGTCTGTGTCTCTCTGCCTGCCTGTCTGTCTGTGTCTCTCTGTCTGTCTGTGTCTCTTCTGCCTGCCTGTCTGTCTGTGTCTCTCTGCCTGCCTGTCTGTCTGTGTCTCTCTGTCTGTCTGTGTCTCTCTGTCTGTCTGTGTCTCTCTGCCTGACTGTGTCTCTCTGCCTGTCTGTGTCTCTCTGCCTGTCTGTGTCTCTCTGCCTGTCTGTCTGTCTCTCTGCCTGTCTGTCTCTCTGCCTGTCTGTCTGCCTGTCTCTCTGCCTGTCTGTGTCTCTCTGCCTGCCTGTCTGTGTCTCTCTGCCTGCCCGCTGTGTCTCTCTGCATGCCTGTCGGTGGTCTCTCTGCCTGCCTGTCTGTGTCTCTCTGCCTGCCTGTCTGTGTCTCTCTGCCTGCTGTCTGTGTCTTCTGCCTGCCTGTCTGTGTCTCTCTGCTGCCTGTCTGTGTCTCTCTGCTGCTGTGTGTCTCTCTGCCTGTCTGTGTCTCTCTGCCTGTCTGTGTCTCTTGCCTGTCTGTCTGTGTCTCTCTGCTGCTGTCTGTGTTTTTGCCTGCTGTCTGTCTGTGTTCTCTCGCTGTCTGTGTCTCTCTGTCTGTCTGTGTCTCTCGCTGACTGTGTTCTCTCTGCTGTCTGTGTCTCTCTGCCTGTCTGTGTTCTCTATGCCTGTCTGTCTGTCTCTTGCCTGTCTGTCTCTCTGCCTGTCTGTCTGCCTCTTCTGCCTGTCTGTGTCTCTCTGCCTGCTGTCTGTGTCTCTCTGCCTGCCTGTCTGTGTCTCTTCGCCTGCTGTCTGTGTCTTCTGCCTGCCTGTCTGTGTCTCTCTGCCTGCTGTCTGTTTGGGCTCTCTGCCTGCTGTCTGTGTCTCTCTGCCTGCCTGTCTGTGTTCTCTGCTGCCTGTCTGTGTCTCTCTGCCTGCCTGTCTGTGTCTCTCTGCCTGTCTGTGTCTCTCTGGCCTGTCTGTGTCTCTCTGCCTGCCTGTCTGTGTTTCTTCTGTCTGTCTGTGTTCTCTGCCCGCCTGTCGTCTGTGTTCTCTGCCTGCTGTCTGTCTGTGTTCTCGTCTGTCTGTGTCTCTCTGTCTGTCTGTGTCTCTCTGCCTGACTGTGTCTCTCTGCCTGTCTGTGTCTCTCGCCTGCCCGTGTCTTCGCCTGTCTGTCTGTCTCTCTGCCTGTCTGTCTCTCTGCGTCTGTGCCGGTTCTATGCCTGTCTGTGTCTCTCTGCCTGCCTGTCTGTGTCTCTCTGCCTGCCTGTCTGTGTCTCTCTGCCTGCCTGTCTGTGTCTCTCTGCCTGCCTGTCTGTGTCTCTCTGCCTGCCTGTCTGTGTCTCTCTGCCTGCCTGTCTGTGTCTCTTGCCTGCCTGTCTGTGTCTCTTGCCTGCTGGGCTGTGTCTCTCTGCCTGCCTGTCTGTGTCTCTCTGCCGTCTGTTGTTCTCTGCTGTCTGTGTCTCTTTGCCGTCTGTCTCTCTGCCTGTCTGTGTCTCTCGCTGCCTGTGTGTCTCTCTGCCTCGCTGTCTGTGGTGTCTCTTGTTGTCTGTGTTTCTGCCTGCTGTCGTCTGTGTCTATAGCCTGCTGTCTGTCTGTGTCTATCGTGTCTGTCTGTGTCTCTCGTCTGTCTGGGTCTCTCTGCCGACGTGTCTCTCTGCCGTCTGTCTTGTCTCTCGCCCTGTAGTCTGCCTGACTGTGTCTCTCTGTTGGTCTGTGTCTCTCTGCCTCTTGTGTCGTCTGCCTGTCTGTGTCTATCGTCTGATCTCTGCCGTCTGTGTTTCTGCCTGCCTGTCTGGGCTTCTGCATGTCTGTCCTGTGTTGTGGTCTCTCTGCCTGTCTGTGTTTTCTGCATGTCGGGGTCTCTCTGCCTGTCGGTGTCTCTGCAGTCGTGTCTCTCTGCCTGTCTGTGGTCCGCTCTCTGTGTGTATAGAGTAAGATCCATAAGCGGTCGTGGGTGCTCCATGAGTGTGTGGAGCGTGTCCCGGAGAACGTGGACGCTGCCAAAGAGCTGTTGCACTACGGGCTAAAGGGGACGGACCTAGAGGCGCTCATCGCTATCGGGAACAGAGAGGACGGGGGCAGGTGAACATTACAACTATATCACTATATTATATCAGCCCTGAGTCAGCGTACCAAGGTCCTGTGGTGTGTTAGAGTGGGGCTGCAACAAAAGCCCACACACCCAGTAGCTCTGCTGGAGGATGAGCTAAAACATTACAACCAAATACTCCTCAGAAATATAGGTGTGTTCAACATATGCCCCTCCCCCTCCGTAGGTTCATCCTGTCAGGTGACCTTGATGTTGATGACGCTCCGTACGAAGACTGCCTGTCTGCAGAAAAAGAGATGGAGTTAAAGAGAGAGAAGGAGAGCCGGAAAAGACGGGAGCTACTGGCCAGGGTCGACTTCAGCAGGTCAGTCAATCAATCAGTCAATCAATCAGTCAGTCAATCAGCAAGTCAATCAAACTATCAGTCAGTCAGTCAACCAGCCAGTCAGCCAGTCAGCCAGACCACTGCAGCATCCACAGAGAGGCTCTTGCTGCCAAGGGAAGGCCTGACCACTTGAAAGACGTTTTGGACACTACAGTGAAAATGGTTAACTTTTGTTAAAGCAAGGCCCCTGAACTCTCGTGTATTTTCTGCATTATGCAATGATATGGGCAGCGACCATGTAACGCTTTTACAACATACAGAAGTGCGCTGGTTATCAAGGGGCAAAGTTTTGACACATTGTTTTAATTTGTGAGACTAGCATAACGTTTTCTTTACTGACCATAATTTTCACTTGTCTGACCGCTTGCATGATGACGAGTTTCTCACACTGGCCTATCTGGGTGATGTTTTTTCTCGTCTGAATGATCTGAATCTAAGATTACAGGGACTCTCCGCAACTATATTCAATGTGGGGGACAAAATTGAGGCTATGATTAAGAAGTTGGAGCTCTTCTCTGTCTGCATTAACAAGGACAACACACAGGTCTTTCCGTCATTGTATGATTTTCTTTGTGTGCAAATGAACTCAAGCTTACGGACAATGTCAGATGTGATATAGAGAAGCACCTGAGTGAGCTGGGTGCGCAATTACTCAGGTACCTTCCCCGAAACGGACGACACAAACAACTGGATTCGTTATCCCTTTCATGCCCTGCCTCCAGTCCACTTACCGATATCTGAACAAGAGAGCCTCATCGAAATTGCTACAAGCGGTTCTGTGAAAATTGAATTTAATCAGAAGCGCTCAGAGTATCCTGCCTTGGCATGTCACGCTGTTAAGACACTGGTGCCCTTTGCAACCACGTACCTATGTGAGAGTCGATTCTCGGCCCTTACTAGCATGAAAACGAAATACAGGCACAGACTGTGTGTGGAAAATGATTTAAGACTGAGACACAACCCAACATTGCAGAGTTATGTACATCCTTTCAAGCACACCCTTCTCATTAACCTGGGGTGAGTTATTCACCATGTTTGATGAACAAATAAGGTTTTATATGTAAGCTGGCTAAATAATATGAAGTGGGGTATGATGGACTGATGACCTGTGGGTGTTGGGTTAATAGTCCCCTAACCTAACCCTACCTCTACCCCCAACCTCTACCCCTAACCCTACCTCTACCCCTGCCTCTAACCCTACCCCTAACCCTAACCCTACCTCTACCCATAACCCTAACCCTATCTCTACTCCTAACCCTACCTCTACCCATAACCCTACCTCTACCCCTAACCCTAACCCTACCTCTACTCCTAACCCTACCCCTAACCCTAACCCTACCTCTACTCCTAACCCTACCCCTAACCCTAACCCTACCTCTACTCCTAACCCTACCTTTAACCCTAACCCTACCTCTACCCCTAACCCTACCTCTACCCCTACCCTAACCCTACCTCTACCCCTAACCCTACGTCCTAACCTAACCCTATCTCTACCCCCAACCTCTACCTCTTACCCTACCTCTACCCCTTACCCTACCTCTACCCCTATCTCTACCCCTTACCCTACCTCTACCCCTATCTACGTACCGTCTAACCACCATACCTCTACCCCTTACCCTGCCTCTACCCATAACCCTACCCCTACCTCTACCCCTTACCCTACCTCTACCCCTTACCCTACCTCTACCCCTACTCTACCCTACCTACCTTACCCTACCTATTACCCCACCTCTACCCCTTACCCTCCTTACCCCCTACACCCTACCCTTACCCTACCTCTACCCCTAACCCTACCTCTACCTCTTACCCCTACCTTTACCCCTACCTCTACCCCTTACCCTGCCTCTACCCCTATCTCTACCTCTTACCCCTACCTCTACCCCTACTTTTACCTCTACCTGTTTGTTGTTCAGTCTCCCTGTGATACCGTAATATTCAGAGGTTTCCACGTAGATGAAGAAACAGCGACCAGATCAGATTGTAATAAGCTGCTGATCTGATCGCTTTGAGACACAGACACGGTCAAACCCTCTAGTTTTATTGGGAAGCCAGTCTACCTACATTAAAAGGTGTCTGATGGGCCCTGGACAACAGTAGTGCACTATAAAGAGGATAGGGTGCTAGGGATGTTGTGGTACTCTGGGCCCGCATCATAAAGCGTCTTGGAGTAGTAGTGCTGACCTAGGATACATTTTAATGGACAAGGGGAACCTAATGCTAGATCAGCACTTCTACTCTGACGTGGTTTATGTATACTGCCCCCCTGGTGCATTTCCACCAGGACTTCCCCCGGTGTTTTACCCAAAAGGCTCAGACTTTTCTGTTTCCATCTACGCGGGCCCGGCACCCGTGTCTCTGGAGGACCTGTTCTCACTTGGTACCAAAGCCAGGCCACTTGTACTTTTCATCTTGCATTTACATAACAATGGCTAACTGTGAATGTTAACACCTTCTCATAAAACAACTGTCTTGATGATGCAGAGGATGTTGATTCTTCTCTTCACCAGTCCTCACTGTCAGCCCTAGATATGGAAACACATTTACATTACATTTTAGTCATTTAGCAGACGCTCTTATCCAGAGCGACTTACAGTAGCAATTGGGGTTAAGTGCCTTGCTTAAGGGCACATCGACAGATTTTTCACCTAGTCGGCTCGGGGATTAGAACCAGCGACCTTTCGGTTACTGGCACAACGCTCTTACCCACTAAGCTACCTGCCGCCCGTACACTAGTGTAACACTGGTGTTACTGTGGAAAAGCAGCACTGGTGTTACTGTGGAAAAGCAGCACTGGTGTTACTGTGGAAAAGCAGCCCTGGTGTTACAGTAGAAAAGCAGCACTGGTGTTACAGTGGAAAAGCAGCACTGGTGTTACTGTAGAAAAGCAGCACCGGTGTTACTGTAGAAAAGCAGCACTGGTGTTACAGTAGAAAAGCAGCACTGGTGTTACAGTAGAAAAGCAGCACTGGTGTTACAGTAGAAAAGCAGCACTGGTGTTACTGTAGAAAAGCAGCACTGGTATTACTGTAGAAAAGCACACTGGTGTTTACTGTAGAAAGCACACTGGTGTTACTGTAGAAAAGCAGCACTGGTGTTACAGTAGAAAAGCAGCACTGGTGTTACTGTAGAAAAGCAGCACTGGTGTTACTGTAAGAAAGCGCACTGGTGGTTACTGTATGAAAGCATCACTGGTGTTACTGTAGAAAAGCAGCACTGGTGTTTACTGTAGAAAAGCAGCACTGGTGTTTAACTGTATAAAGCAGCACTGGTGTTACTGTAGAAAGAAAAGCAGCACTGGTGTTACAGTAGAAAAGCAGCACTGGTTGTTACTGTAGAAAAGCACACTGGTGTTACTCGTAGAAAAGCAGCACTGGTGTTACAGTAGAAAAAGGCAGCACTGGTGTTACAGTAGAAAAGCAGCACTGGTGTTACTGTAGAAAAGCAGCACTGGTGTTACTATAGAAAAGCAGCACTGGTGTTACAGTAGAAAAGCATCACTGGTGTTACTGTAGAAAAGCATCACTGGTATTACTGTAGAAAAGCATCACTGGTGTTACTGTAGAAAAGCAGCACTGGTGTTACTGAGAAAAGCAGCACTGGTGTTACAGTAGAAAAGCAGCACTGGTGTTACTGTAAAAAAGCAGCACTGGTGTTACAGTAGAAAAGCAGCACTGGTGTTACTGTAGAAAAGCAGCACTGGTGTTACTGTAGAAAAAGCAGCACTGGTGTTACTGTAGAAAGCAGCACTGGTGTTACTGTAGAAAAGCAGCACTGGTGTTACTGTAGAAAGCAGCACTGGTGTTACAGTAGAAAAAAGAAGCACATGGTGTTACAGTAGAAAAGCAGCACTGGTGTTACAGTAGAAAAGCAGCACTGGTGTTACAGTAGAAAAGCAGCACTGGTGTTACAGTAGAAAAGCAGCACGGGTGTTACGTAGAAAAGCAGTGGTTTACAGTAGAAAGCACTGGTGTTACAGTAGAAAAGCAGCACTGGTGTTACAGTAGAAAAGAAACACTGGTTTACTGTAGAAAAGCAGCACTGGTGTTACAGTAGAAAAAGCAGCACTGGTGTTACTGTAGAAAAGCAGCACTGGTGTTACAGTAGAAAAGCAGCACGGGTTTACAGTAGAAAAGCAGCACTGGTGTTACTGTAGAAAAGCAGCACTGGGTTACTGTAGAAAGCAGCACTGGTGTTACTGTAGAAAAGCACACTGGTGTTACTTAGAAAGCGCACTGGTGTTACAGTAGAAAAGCAGCACTGGTGTTACGTAGAAAAGCAGCACTGGTGTTACGTGTAGAAAAGCAGCACTGGTTTTTACTGTAGAAAAGCAGCACTGGTGTTACTGTAGAAAAGCAGCACTGGTGTTACTGTAGAAAAGCAGCACTGGTGTTACTGTAGAAAGCAGCATTTGGGTTACTGTAGAAAAGCAGCACTGGTGTTACTGTAGAAAAGCAGCACTGGTGTTACAGTAGAAAAGCAGCACTGGTTTTACAGTAGGAAAAGCAGCACTGGTGTTACTGTAGAAAAGCAGCACTGGTGTTACAGTAGAAAAGCAGCACTGGTGTTACAGTGGAAAGCAGCACTGGTGTTACATGGAAAAGCAGCACTGGTGTTACCGTAGAAAAGCAGCACTGGTGTTACAGTAGAAAAAGCAGCAACTGGTGTTACAGTAGAAAAGCAGCACTGGTGTTACTGTAGAAAAGCAGCACTGGTGTTACTGTAGAAACAAAAGCAGCACTGGTTTTTACTGTAGAAAAAGCTGCACTGGTGTTACTGTAGAAAAGAAAGCACTGGTGTTACTGTAGAAAAGCAGCACTGGTGTTACTGTAGAAAGCAGCACTGGTGTTACTGTAGAAAGCAGCACTGGTGTTACAGTAGAAAAGCAGCACTGGTGTTACTGTAGAAAAGCAGCACTGGTGTTACGTAGAAAAGCAGCACTGGTGTTACTGTAGAAAAGCAGCCCCTGGTGTTACTGTAAG